GGGGGGGATATGCTGGTATGATTTGGTATTGTTTACCATATTTTTAAAAAAAATTTCTTGCTACTGAATGACATTTTTTCAAATTCTGAAATGAGAATGGCTAGCCATGATCTATGTCAATATATGTGCTTCTGAAATAAACTGGTTGGTCATTGTACTTGCATTATAATGCACTGGGATTTGGTCATGTCTTTTACATGCTAATTTATTCTCGCACAGTGGGGTTGAAATCCAAATTTGACATGAAGGAAAGAGTGACAAACAGTAAAGACGAAGATCTTACAAAAGGAAAACATACAGGAATGATCTGACCAAATTAGGAAACCTAATATGGTACTTGATTGTGTATTAGGTAACAAGATGATGATAGAGGAGACAAAACGCAGCATCCATGATGCATTGTGTGTGGCTAGGAATCTCATTCACAACAATTCTATAGTATATGGTGGTGGCTCGGCTGAGATTTCTTGCTCAATTGCTGTGGAGGCAGCTGCCGATAAATATCCTGGTGTTGAACAGGTTTAAATATAATATATTGTCTTGCTCACCCTTGTTGTTTACCATTTAACATTGACGCAGATTGAGCTGAGACTTAATCCTTTCATCTGCAGTATGCAATCAGGGCATTTGCAGATGCTTTGGATGCCATCCCTATGGCACTAGCTGAGAATAGTGGTCTCCAACCCATTGAAACCCTATCGGCTGTGAAAGCTCAGCAAATTAAGGTGATCTGAACGTGATTGCCCCTTTTGGCATGCCCTGGATTTTCAAAGCAACATGCTACTCATGTCTCCTTCTCCCTCCTCCGTTCTTGCATCAGTAATATTATCTTGCTGGATTATTATAGTTGATTTCTTTAAACATTATTCTGGATTGGGTATGCAGGAGAATAATACCTGCTGCGGCATAGACTGCAATGACGTTGGCACGAATGACATGCGTGAGCAAGATGTCTTCGAAACTCTAATTGGGAAGAAGCAACAGATTTTACTTGCAACCCAAGTTGTTAAAATGATCTTGAAGATTGATGATGTTATCTCCCCATCTAATTATTGATCTATCAGGTACTTATGGAAAATTTTGCTTCACCTAAACCAGCGTCCACCTTTTGTTTTCGGCTCAAATGGTGACTTGAGTTGCTAAAGTGTATTTGTTCTCCAGTATACTTTTATGCAGTTGGGTAAATTTTGTAATGTGATTACTATTTCACGTCGGTGGTGGGTTGATCTTGTTTTATCTTTTGAACATTTATGGATCGCTGTTACCTCTTTTTGTCAATTTTCATTCTGATGAAAGCACAGAACATTTGGAAATGAAGTTCTCAAAACTGTTTAGAGGTTGTGTGCTACTTGTCTGGACTAGTTCAACTTGTTTTGGTCTCTCCCGAGTATTCTTACTCTTTTAGAGAGAGAATTAGTAATGTGTTTGGTTTGATGGAAAGTTTGGTGGATGGAAAATAGGGGAAAGAAAGAGTTTTCATTGTTTGCTTCCAAAGGAAAATTGTTCCTCTCCAACCCACCATTTTTTTTCTTTCTAAAAATGGGAGGAAAGTGAGAGGAAAGTTTAAGATTATTTATATTTTGGACAAATTAACGTTTGTCTTTGAATGTATACTTCTAAACATTATGTAACAATTTCAACTTAAAAATTGCACACTTCTAAATATCAAGTATCTAATGACACATATTTTTCATATTTATATTTTTTGGCTATTACCTTTTGTATTCATATATTTATTTATTTTTATAACTAATTAAAGTGACATTGAACATTTTTAAATCCTTTTTTTGTAAGGGTATAATGTAAATTAAGTTTACGTATTTTCTTTCTTTTTATTTTTTCTCTTACACCAAACAATAAAAAATTAATCCCTCTAATTTTTCACTTATAATACCAAACAAAAAAAGTGTTTTTCTGTCCTCAAAAAATAGAAAGTTTATCTCTTTTATTTTTTTTATCCCTCCTCCCGTTAGACTTACCAGAGGGAGGGAGGGAGGAATTAGTTGGTGGCTTGAGAGATGTGGAGAGTAAGGTTAAAATCAGACGGCGCATAACTAAGGGGTCATTATTGTAATAGCCTCGCATTAAGCCCGATAGTCGCCCTCCTACCTGTCCATTCCTAGAAGAGCCCATGATCCACCTGGCTCTGATTGGTTTTGTTGGGATCTTCATGTTTGGCTTGAATTTTGGATTTTTTTTTATTTTTTTTTTGATACATCGGAAATTTAAACCAAAACTAAATAAACTTCTTAGTAAACACAACACTAGTTAAATCTGCATTCAACAGTCTCCCAGTTGAGGTGGGGGATCTTCTGAATCTAAGTGAGCCTAAAAAACATCCCCCACCGGACTTAAACTTCTGAACTAAGATTCTATATTAGTTTTAGGTACCTTTAAAGGATTAAGAAGTAAAAATTGTCGAACAACAAAATAGCTTCATATGATAGTGACAATAATATTCATGAGATTTACATGAAAAATGTTAGAATATAAGAAAATTTGAATGATTGAAACCAAGTCTCAAATGTTCTATCCACAAAATTGCAAAATTAAAACTCCAAATGGTAGCCTAAATGTTATGAGTTCAAAACTAGATCATTCTCTTGAAACTATTTATCTTTCATGAATTTCTTAGTCTCAGCGTGGATAACTTGCCATTTGACGGGACCAAGACGAAAATTAGTTGAGGTGTAAATAAATTGACATGGGCATTCCTAGCTGCAATATTAAAAAAAATTGTAAAATTGAAGTCTAGATTGAATCACCAGGAAACGACCATTCAATCTAGAAATGGAGAGAGCCTGACTGAGAAACTTGGAGCTTTCATTAAAAAGAGAGAGAATAAAAAATCTCCCTCGTGCAAAAATAAAAAATTCTGGGATAAAAAAAAAAAGGTGGATGACAAGTTGACTCATTTCTCTTCTTTTTTTTGATTACCAGCTCATATATAATATTATTGAAAATAGAAATAATATGAAACTTGATATTAACATGAACCTGGACAAATGTATCAGCTATTTACTACTCGAGGCCAAAGCAAAAGCAAACAATTTTCTTTAGAGTTCAACTATGCAGCATTTGCTTAGGTCCCCGGCTACCTAGCTAAATTCTTCACAATCCCTTTTTTTTTTTTTGGTTTCTTATGTACAGAAAAGACATGGAAATATGAACAACTGCAAATCAGGATGGTTAGGATGATAATAAATTAGCATGGGCAAAGGTCTTGAAAAGCTAACTGAGATCAATGTCCACGCGCTCGGGGTTTGCCCTTTCAGTCTGATTGGCAGCAAGCTCAACGCCCAGTTGTCCTTTGTCTCCCGCTCCAAATGCATACAGCTTACCAGATGCAGTGAGTGCGAAAGTGTGGGCATTCCAGTATATGGAATTTGTGAGGCTTACTTGTACCACCCTCTCATTCACCTGTTTCAGTGATGTTACAATCTCGGGGCTGAGAACGTTTGTGTGCCTATTCCCCTGAAAACAGCACAACCAAACATCATATCAGTTATCTCATAAATTGAGGCCACAATCCCCCCCCCCCCCCCCCCCC